AACCAACCTGTATAACTAGCTTGGTGTAATTTGGAAAACTTTCTAATAGAAGTATCATCATCATCGAGACAAATTGCAAAGGGACGTAGCCTTCTTGCAGATCAAACACCATCCGGATCGATCTCCAGCTAGGTCCTTCAGGTGGTCTGACTGGATGGTCAATGTATGTCCGTCACTGGCGATCTTATCATGCCTCCAAAGCTTTTAGTGTACCTGTGATCTCCAGCTGCGTAGCGGCATTCCTGGGCACACATGCTTTGTAACGCGTTTGGTCTTCCATCCTGATAATACTGAGAAAGCTGCCGAAACTGAACTACAGCGGCAGCTGCTGGGATCAGCTTTGGATGTTCTTGTTGCAGATCTTGTCCTGCCACTGACTGTGGAGAGGCTGATGAAGACGGCAAGAATCATAAACAGCCACCTGGTGTTCTTCAGCCTTGCTCGGCACCCGCGTTTCAGTGCCGTGCCATCGAGTGGCTATAACTGCGGTTCTGTAGATCCACAGCTTCCTAGCAAACCTGATGTCACGGCGTCCCCACAAAGGCTGATGAATAGCCCAGAACGGGGCAGCAACTGGTCCTATATGAACATCTGCATCCTTTGTGCATCCTCTCCCACTCTATGACGTTGCCCAGGTATTTGGCTGTTGTCACCTGCTCCATGTCCCATCCAGACAGGTTAATGCTGAGCTGTTTATACTCTAGAGCTGGAGGTTGTCCCATGGTAAAGGCCGGGGACTTACTTTTACCTGGATTAATAACCAGACTGATGCATCCTGTTTCTTGCCTGACCAGGTGGGCCATTGGCTGCAGCGACCCACCAATGTGAGCCAACAAGACCATGTCATCAGCGTGTTTGAGATCTCGCTGCAGCTTTCCATTCTGTTATCGAGCTCTTCTGTCAACAAAGCTATCTGCCAAGTCACTGCCTCAGATCCGGCAGGCTTGCTTGATGCCCTGAATCAATGGTCTGACAGAAGCCTATAGAAAGTGCTCATGAAAGTCAACCATCTTCTGCAAAAATAAGCCCCAAGCTGTATAGCACGAATGGTGTCTTGGTACTGAGGCACAGTGCTAATCTATATGGACATTTTTGTGCTGTGGGTGAATCTCTCCTAAGGACAAGGGCTGATCTATGTTACCTAATTATACCGATAGATTATACAGCCCTTCCCCGGTGACATCCACTGAACTTCTGGTACTGGATTAAGTGTGCCCACATGGGCGAGTGGGTTAATGCCAGTGTAACAATGTCCGTTTAAATTCAAACCATAGGTTATACCAGAGAAAAGGTTCCCGTCTCGATGCGGCCTTAAGCTGAGACTCCTCAAATCCATTTCACTTGTGGTCAAAGCTGGGATTTGAACCCAGGGCTGGGGAAGCCATTGCACCAGCCGTCTACCCTATCTCTTCCCACCTGCTTGCACAATTATGCTTCACCGGAGGCCATGTCACCTGCACGGCTGTCATGCTGACGGGCAGCAGAGTCTCTGCAGAGACAGTTGTTGAACTGTCAATCATTCGCCAGGCGCTGCAGAGTTGACCTGCTGAGACTGCAGCCATGTGTTCAGGAGTCCTCCAAACTGGCCTTGATGCTGCAGTCTGAGCAGGGTGGATGTGAGTGGCCGGGCAGAGGCGCTGGGATAGTTACCTGGTGCGGTGAACTGACCTTGCTGGTCAGTTTCACCTGCCCCATTTCCCTGGGCTCCCAGGAAGATCGTTCAGTTCAACAGGAAGTCAGTCTCTGGCTTCAGCCCTGCATGAGAACCAAGGCCGTAATTTTTTTTTCAGAGGTGGATTTCGCAGCCTGCATAGATCCTGGATGATGTCACACTCCTCCTCTGTGGGGACTGATGGGCCCGCCTTTCCCTGCAGCTCATGCCTAGCTGCACTGCAAGCTTCCTCTTGCACTGCCCCATGTGTGCCCTTCCCCCCCCGAAATGCAGGCACCAGAGGGGAGTCTGGTCTCTGGGTGGCTGATTCTCCTTGGCCTCTCTACTGAGGGCACTAGCTGAGCTGGCATTTGCAGCAGGAACAGATGCAATGTCTCTCCTGGCTTTGTACCCTGGGGAGGGGCCCTGACTCAGGAAAGCACTTAAGTGTGTGCTAAACTTTAAGCATATGCTTAAGTCCCCCTGGCTTCAGTGAGACTCGCACATGCTTTAGTGCTGTCCAGACTAGAGATATTTTTGTGAGTTGGGTCTCCGCTGGCCAAAGCACATAAGCCATCAGCCCTGGAGTCGTAGTGGCAAGGTGTCCTCTGCTCTGGAATGGCCCAAGTCACAGGGTCAGATTCTTCATTGTCCTGGGTTTTTGAGAGGTAGGATGACATAGTGGTTAGGGCACTAGCCTGAACCGAGGAGAGCTAGGTTCAATTCTCTGCTCTGCCACAGACTCCCTGTATGACCTTGGGCAAGTCACTTAGTCGCTCCGTGCCTTAGTTTCCCCCATCTTTACAATGGGGCTAACAGCACAGCTGTAACTCACAGGGGGGTGGCAAGGATAAATTCATCAAAGATTGCGAGGTGCTCAGATACCATGGTAATGGGGGACAGATAAGGACTTTAAATAAATAAACAAACACCTCTTGGGAAGTCTATATGATACATCCCCATTCTGATGCAGTTGCACTTTGCACAGAGGTGAATAACTGTGTCAGGCCAGGGCAATGGAAAATTGGGCCCGATGCGTATGGCTATTCAAAGGCCCCACTCCGTGCTCAGCCCTTTGGATGAGGTTGGTTGGAGTTTGGTTGGCGAAGGTTTGTACAGAGGCCGGCGGAAGTGTCCTTTGTCTGCCATTGGCTCGGGGCGTTCGTTGTTAACCGTTGCTTGTTGTTTGATTATCTTGGCGGGAAAGGCATGTGACCCACGGAGTAGGACACCGCCCAGTGGCTCAGCAGACCTGGATGCTAGTCCCAGTGCTGCCACTGATCAGCTGGGTGACCTTGGGCAAGTCCCCTTCCCCTCTTGTCTATGTCAATGAGACCCCGATCTTGGGGAGTGGGTGGGTGGGAGGGGCATGCTTTGGGTGCTAACATAATACAAACAATATATGTATTTGAAGGAAACTTGATGACTGTTTTATAAATCTACCTAAACAAGGTGTGACTGCTTAGAAAGATCCTCTGAGTTCATGGCTCTTGGGTTTTGAGTAAAGATTGTTTCTTTTAAGCCTGTACAAAGGAGTCAGCCTGGACAGAGGGCTGGGGAAGGTTCTAGGCAGGAGCGGAGCAAGAGATACGGGGGAGCTTCAGGGATGATACCGTTTTACTTATTAAAGTTCCTTGTTCAGTGTTGGAAGAAAGTGTATCTCCCTCTGATGCTTTGTTACCTGAGGCTTGGGATCCAAATAAGATAATTTAAGGAGCTGGCTACTGCCTGCACCACTGCCCTCCCCTGTACATAATTGGAACTGCTTAGCTGTGTGTCATTGGCCCTATACTGCATACAACTAACGGTGATTCTCCTTTAGCTCAAGTGGCAAGGCCCTACACATTTGGCACAGGAGGATTAGAATTCTATCCTTGCTGTTTCTGTGAAGTCCTGAACGGCATCATGGCAGTAACAGTGAAGTCCTCTGTAACCACAGGTTTTTTACAATATTATTTCAGGTTTCAGAGTAGCAGCCGTGTTAGTCTGTATTCGCAAAAAGAAAAGGAGTACTTGTGGCACCTTAGAGACTAACCAATTTATCTGAACATAAGCTTTCGTGAGCTACAGCTCACTTCATCGGATGCATTCACTGGACTCTTTGCTGTAAACTTTCCCCCGCTTAAAAAAACAACCAACCAAAAAAAAAACAACCCCCAAACCCAACCCACTTCCTCCTCTCCAAGGGAAATGAAACACCATAACGAAGAAACTTTGGTGGCTGATTGAAAGGTAAGCCCTACTAATGCCCTGGAAGTTGGAAGGTTGTCGCACTGTTGCAGACCGCAGTTGATCTTCCAAGCCCACTGTGCACCCTGCATTACTCAGGGTTTGTCTCCGCAGCGGGAACTCCAGCGGCAGAGATCCCCATCGTGTCAACTATTCTGCAGCGGCTGAAGGGGTTTTTTCCAGCTCTGTAGGAACTGCCCCTCCCCCAGCGGTGGCACCAAGGTCAACGGAAGGATTATTCCATTGACTCGGCCACCTCTACCCCAGAGGTTAGGTTGGCACAGCTGCAGCGCTCAGGTTGCCTTTTTTGCACCGCAGAGCGATGGAGCTCTGTCAGTCTAAAATGTTTAGTGTGGGCCAGGCCTTAGGCGGTGGCTGTGTGCAGCTCATGCACAGAGGAAGGACAATCCCACAGTTAGGATGTTAACCTAGGATCTACAAGACTTGGCTTCAATTCCCTGCTTCACTACAGACTCTCTGAGTGACCTTGGGCAAGTCAATTAATCTTTCCGTGCCTCAGTTCTCCATCCTACCTCACTGGAGCGTGGTGAGGATAAAATAACTCCAAGACCGAGCCGCTCGAATACCCCCAGTAACGGGGGCCAGAGAATCTAGATAGTTTAACTCTGCTGTATTGAGATGTGTAATTCAAATGGCTAACATCAAGGATTTGGGTTTGTTTGGTTTTCCTCCCCCCCCACAAAAAAGCCATTGATTCCTGTTTGAAAAATCACATTTAAATGCAGTGTGCTGTGTCTCTGCGGTTGTGATGGGTTGGGGGGGAAGGAGGGGGGCGAAAAATTGCGATAGGTGACTGCGAGCATCTCCGAGCAAAAACAAACACAAACACAAAGTATCTTTCTGCTGCTGCCATTCCTCCCAGCAAAGCTGTCCAGGGGCAGCTATCAGATGAAACTGACTAATAATACACCATCAGTCAGTCTCACCTCCTTCAGTGCATTTCAGTGAAGCAGGTTAAACTGAAATCTCGTCCCTGACGGAGGCAACCTGATCTTGCAGAAGATTCCCACATGGATGGGTAACCGGCTGGGGGAGGCATTCTCTTTTTTTTCCTGGTTCATTAAAAAAAAAAGACAACCCCTCCTCCTTCTCTGTTTCATTTTCTATAGCAGCCGGTCCTGCCGCCACCCTTCCCTGGGCTGTTACAATGGACTCTCCCAATGTTCAGTGTGTGTGTAGAAGGCTGCGATGCTAATGCTCGTTCTGGTACCCATGAGCTATTTCCTTCCTGTATCCCTGCCAGAGCATCCTTCATAATATCACGCGAGACAGATACTTAAAGGAGGGCTGTGGCAGAGCGGAGTATAGACCACAGGTAAGGAGGAAAACAAATGTCTTTGTAAAAACAAGGTGCTTTAATTAGTATAATTGGATACATAGTTGTTGATGTAGAAAGGTTTTTTTGGGTTTTTTCCCCCCTCCCCCTTTGGTGTGGCCATTTTGTCCTGAAAAACCTTGCCTCTAGGTTTTGTCTGTCTTTTTATTTGTGTATGAGTGTTAATAGCGTCCGGTCATCTCACTTGCCCCGGTTATTCCAGCTATCCTACAGCTTGGAATCTATGCAGATAGATCTTTGGTAGGTTGGGTGATGGGCATCTCATTGGAGGGATGGTTATTTATATCGATGAAACCCACGCGTCTTGAACAGGGGAAGAAATCTGTACCGGATTTGGGAGCGAGTGAATGTGTTGGAAAATGACCTTGGGGACTGTAGATTTAAAAACTCTCATTATCTATTGTCGCCATGGTTTTTGTTGGTCTATGAGGAGGTCTCTAAAAGAACGGGGGTTTCAAATGAAGCGAAATCACTTGTTAACTCAAGTCCCAACCCTTTCCAATCCAACCAAACAAATCGTCTTTGGCACATTTGGGATTTATAAGTGTGTGTTTAACTAAACCACTCTTTTAAACCCAGGAGTAAGTACTGTATTGATCAACAGCTCTGATCAAAGAAATGGCAAAAGGAAATGGGTTCAAAAATAAATAACCTTGTCTGGAAACTGCTGATAGTGTTTATTTGCTGAGATGCTCAGCTTAAATCTTGGTACAGATTTTAAATAGCAGCAATGTATTTATATGCGTAGGAGGGTATTTTGGGGGATTCCAACTTTGACGATGAAATGTCTGCTTGTAGATTCTCTTAACATCAAAACTAGCTCTGGGTTTAAACAGCTTCAATCCTTCATAAACTGCCTTGACACAGCTGCTAAGAATTATGGCTTAGATTATGGCTTTAAAAACCATCATTTCTACCAGGGAGGAGAAGAGCCTATGACCTTGTTCCGATAGATCTAATTACATCTAGATTTCCCCTTCTCCCTTGTCGAGTCCCTAAGTGTACAGCTGCGTCGCAGTAAATATAACTGCCTTGACATGGCTTTAGTGAATATCGAAAGGAAAAAAGGGACTGGTGAGGAGACTGGAGATGGTGTTAGCTGGGTGAGAATGACCTTGTCATAAAGAAGCGGGTCACATTGTTTTCTTCAAGGACGCTAATTTGTTTATTTAAAACTTAGCACCTTTCGTCCCTTCTCGTATTATTTGAGCCCGCATAAAGGAACTTGGATGGGGTTGTTCAGAGAGGGGGAATGGGCGTAGGAGGTAATTTGTGTTCGTTAAAAGCACATTGCGTCGTTCATTCAGAAATGAGCTGTTGCCAGCTCTTAGAATCATAGAATATCAGGGTTGGAAGCAGGGCAAACTCCAGGCATCAGCTTTCCAAGCAGGTGCTTGGAGCGGCATTCAAAATGGGGCGGCAATTCGGCGGCAGCCCCGCTGCTTTTCCGGCCGCCGCGGCTTTTGGGCAATTCGGCGGCGACTGCTTGGGGCGGCAAAATTGGTAGAGCCGCCCCCGGTTGGAAGGAACCTCAGGAGGTCATCTAGTCCAACCCCCTGCTCAAAGCAGGACCAATCCCCAGCTAAATCATCCTAGCCAAGGCTTTCTCAAGCTGGGCCTTAAAAACCTCTAAGGATGGAGATTCCACCACCTCCCTAGGTAACCCATTCCAGAGCTTCACCACCCTCCTAGTGAAATAGTTCTCCTAATATCCTACCTAGATCTCCCCCACTGCAACTTGAGACCATTGCTCCTTGTTCTGTCATCTGCCACCACTGAGAACAGCTGAATTCCATCCTCTTTGTAACCCCCCTTCAGGTAGTTGAAGGCTGCTGTCAAATCCCCCCTCATTCTTCTCTTCTGCAGATTTACATTTTTAATAGCTTTTTCGAGTCGGTTTGTGTGAACGTGATCTACCTGGGGTGTGCAGGGATACGTACAATGTGTACGGATGTGACTGTGGCTCGCACACAGAGAATGCAGAGTCAGCACTATCTATTTTTGACTCCCCAGTTTGCATTTAAATCCTGCCTTCTCTCTCACACTCACACACAATCTCTCAGAAGATGCATTATCCCAGCTGTCTGCTTTGTAGGTGCCTGATCCACACACGCACTGGCCCTGCTCTGCAAAATCCCACTGGCCTAGGTCAAGTAACAATTCATCCCCTGCCCTTTAGGTGAGTGAATTACATAGAATCATAGAATATCAGGGTTGGAAGGGACCTCAGGAGGTCATCTAGTCCAACCCCCTGCTCAAAGCAGGACCAATCCCCAACTAAATCATCCCAGCCAGGGCTTTGTCAAGCCTGATCTTAAAAATATCTAAGGAAGGAGATTCCACCACCTCCCTAGGTAACACTTTCCAGTGTTTCACCACCCTCCTAGTGAAAAAGTTTTCCCTAATATCCAACCTAAACCTCCCCCACTGCAACTTGGTTACCCTTGGTTTCTCCATCCTCCTTGGAAGGGTGGGCAAGTAGATTGCATGGCTGGATGTATAGGTGATGTGGTCAGGCTGCGCTGCTTGCTCCCACATCCAGGGGTGACGGGAGGTGCAGCCATTATTATTTTAGAAGGGCTAATTTTAACTTGAAATCATGCCCCCCCACTCTCTGACACACAGTACATAAATGGCCAGGTCTGTTTCATCCTGCTTGACTTACACTTTTATTCGTGCATTTTTTTCTCTCCCCTTTCCTCCCACCCCATCTCTCTCTCTCTCTCTCTCTCTCTCTCTCTCACACACACACACACACACACACACACACACACACACACACACACACTGTTCTCAGGTGTGTTTGTGCTGCCGAAGATAAAAATAGTCTTTCTGGGGGAAGTGGCTGGCTGGCTGAGAGACTTGGCTGGCTGGCTGAGGGATGCGTTCCTGAATGTATCTTCCCTATTCCCTCCTGAGATCTCACCTTCAAACACATCCCGTGCCAGTGGAGCTGTACCCGTTCATGCCAAGTGGCCCAGGCTGGTTTCTTCATCCTGGCTTGGCTCCCGTTGGCATCAGCAGGAGGTAGGCATGTGTATTGGGCTGGAGTGTTTGACCACTGCTCTGGCAGTGGTTTGGTCAGGCCCTGAAGGGAAAGGAGAGTGGGGCAGTGGTTAGAACAGAGTCCTGGGAGTCTCTCTAGCTTTGCCATGATGCTGGGCAAGTCACGCCCTTCTGTGCCTCAGTTTCCTCTTCTGTAAAATGTGGACAGTGACCCCACCCTCACAAGGGCATTGCGGCCTGAATTCGTTGGTGATTGTAAAGTGTTATGAGCCCCTCAGAGGGAAGTGGCTGGACGGGGCAAAGAACTGCTGTGGCCGTTTCTGTAGCATGTCTCCTCCCACTGCCACCGGGTCCCTGCAATCACTCTGGTCCCAGCTTTGTCACTGGGGGTGATCTAAGCATTTCCTTGGCTGCAGGGGGGATCCTCGGTGAAATCCGTTTGTACGCGTCTCCCTGTCAGATGCATCCCTGCCTAGCGACCCTCTGTAGGGGGCATTCTGCACCCCTCGCTTTCCAGTAGCCTCTGCCAGCAGGCCCTGCAGATCCAGTTACCAGCCTGCTCAGCTGTAGGAAACAAGCAGGCCTGCCAGTGAGACCTGGGGGAAGAGCCCGGCTTAGTTCTGTTCTCTGCAGTCCCTCACAAGCCTGACCTGCCAGCACTGCCCGAAGGGGAACATCATTTGCAATGAACGAGCTGAAGCTTGTGAAGATCTGGGCATTTGCTCGTCTTCCAACCTGCCCTGCCCCCCCCCCCCCCCAGCAATTCGAGGCACAAACGCTCCGCTCTCTCTAGCTGCCGGCCTGGATTCTGCCGATATTCATTGCTCCTTCAACCCTTTCTGGAAACATCTCCCTGAAAGTGACTGTGAATTAGTATCCCGCCACACACTGGCCTGTCTGTCATCTCCGCAGGGGTCTCAGCACAGCAGGGCGGGATCTGGTCTTCCCGTCCTGCAAACATTTTTGGAGAGGTCGAAAAAAATGTCCCTTGCCAAATCAGGATGAAAAGTCCATCTTGAAAACTTGCGCAAACTGACAGCTTGCAAAAAAAAAAAAAAAAATCTGGCTTGGGTCAACTGCCACATTTTCATTTTGGTTTTGACCATTGTTAACCCCCTATGCTTTCGCGTTCATTTCAAAACAAAAAAGTTGTTTGTCCAGAAAACGGGAATTTTTCATGTAGAAAAGGTTGAAACTCCCCCCGCCCCGCCCCGCCCCCGCACACACACACACGCTGCCCCTTTCCAAACCGAAACGTTTCTGCTGGAAAAATTGGCATTTTGCTGACAACAACAAAGGACAAAAAATTAACTGGAAAATTCCCAGCCTGCTCTGGGTTTTTTGGGACTGGCAATGCAGTGGGTGCCCAGATGCATTTCAGAGCCCAGGTCAGGGGCGAGGCTGGGTCACCAGGCAGGGTGCTCTGCTAGAAGAACGAGATGGCGCTGCGACCCCTCTAGGAAAGGCTCTTTGCCAGCACCGCTCCCCCACTGCCTGTCTTATCCACCTGGTAAATGGCCTATATTTTTGCTTGGCTAGGGACAATTTTTATTGCCAACCAGGGCGAAAGGCAGGAGGGCCAGTAGCTGGGCTGGGATGCTTTTGGCTGCCTAAGCAGAGCCCTGCGTGGATACAAAATTGCGGATTGGATGTGGATGCCGAACATGGTTTGTGGATATCTGCAGATTTGCAGGGCTCTGTGCATAAGAGCGCACCTGCCCCCTGCGTTAGGTGGAGTGTGCAGTGCCTGAGGTTTAAAGACCCATCCTCTTATGCAGTTTGGTCTTCTGCATCCGGCTCTGAAGCTGCTGAGATCCCAGATCTGGGAGCCGCTCTCGACCCATCTCTGATGGTAACTGCCCCTCACTGGGGGGGTTGGGATGAAGCACCTGGAATGGCCATGTCCTTTTCCCTGTGTTAGTCAGCATGGGTGCAGCTTAGGCAGAACTGATCCTATCTAGGTTCGTATCCCA